CTCCAACAGGCGTACAAGATCATTATCTTGTGCGCATGCCCTTCTAATGTCGTCGAGTAAACTCTACGACAAGACGCTGGTACTCAGCGTGGCGACAGTGGTGTTCACATCACTGTCGGATTGCACAGTCGGCTCTAGGTCAGGCCGACGTGAGAGGGCATCGGCGACGACGTTAAGTCGTCCCGGCTTATACTCCACGGAGAAGTTGTACTCCGCGAAGAATGACAACCATCTCGCCATTCGTTGCGAGAGGTGTGGACTATTTACAGCCGTGCGTAGTGACGCATGGTCTGTATATACAATGAACGGTCTATCTCCTAAGAGATAGACGCGAAACTTAGCCAGTGCATACTTCATGGCAAGGAGTTCCTTGTCATGCACCAGGTAATTGCGCTCAGCCGGTTGCAGCTGACGCGATTGATAACAGACGACACGCTCGGCGCCGTCTGTATCATATTGCATCAATGCGCAGCCGATTGCAAAATCACTGGCGTCACCGACCACATATAATGGTCTGTCTTGATCGGCAATCGCCAATACTGGCGATTGCATCAAGCTTTGCTTGATACGTTCAAAGGAACGCTGACAATCAGCGTTCCAGTTCCACTTTACATTTTTTCTTGAGTAAACAAGAGAGATGTACTGTCATTTCGGCGTATTTGCGCGAGTACTTGTGCAAGTACGCCGCTAGCCCAAGGAACTTCCTTAGTCCCTTGACATCGACTGGCACTGGCCAGTCGGTGATCGCCTTGATCTTTTCTGGATCAGGGCGTACGCCGTTCTTTCCGACGATGCACCCAAGAAGTGGTATTTCGCTAGCTGCGAATATACACTTCTTGGGGTTGGCGTACAACTTATGCTCTCGCATAAGTGTAAGAACCTTACGGACGTGGAGTCTATGGACTTCCACGTCTGTTTTCCCGTCCATAGCCCGACTATGGACGAACACATCATCGAAGTAACTCGGTGCGAATTCGCGCACCGGTCTCAATAGATGTGAAACACATCTATTGAATGTGTCTGGTGCATTACTAAGCCCTTGCGGCATCACCAACCATTCCCAGAGCATACCACTGGGAGTGCTCACTGCTGTGTACGGGATGTCCCGTTCACGCATTAGGATCTGATAGAAGCCATCCATCAGATCCATGGACGAAAAGATGGTACTCTTAGACATACCATCTATGATTACGTCCTTTCTCGGTATCGGCGTTTGCGCCGGTATCGTTGCAGCGTTCAACTTATTGAACGCGTGCACTATCCGCCACCCTCCTGTGGCCTTGCGCACACAGAAGGTCGGAGAGCTGTGAGGTGAAGTTGACTCCCTCACATGGCCCGCTGCTAGGCGATCGGCAAAGAACTTGTCGATCGCCTCGACCTGTTCCCGAGGCAGTGGCCACTGCTTCATGACACAATATTTTGTGCCAGGAACTTGGTCGATCTCGTGTCGAGTACCTTTACCCTTAGGCAACTCGCACGGAACGGATTCAGGGAATACATCCTTGAATTTGACCAAATCCTTATACAAAGGATTTGTCTTCAGCGACTCCCAGGATTGCGATGTATATCGTTCAATCCGAGTCTTCTCATCAAGGACACTTTCGTCCATTGATGAGCTGCTGAGAACCCGTTCGTTCTCGGCAAAAACTGTTGCTGACCGAATGTCAGTCATGTACTCGTCCTCTGCGATGAGCACACAGATCTGCTTGACTTTGCGACTACGCAGATCACGCAAGAACCTTTTAGGTTCTAGCGTAGGCAACTGAGTTTTCTCCGAAGTTAACTTCGGAGGCGCGATCAGATCAAGCGTATAAGCGCCTACGATTAATTCGTCATTAAGCAAAACGTTCACATTCTCGGTTACTTCCTGGGGACTTATTCCCTCAGGGCACTGAAGACTTATTCCCTCAGTGATTATTTCCTGGGGACTTATTCCCGCAGGCTCGATGGAACCTGTTCCATCGACTTCCTCTAGCTGTGGTGGCGCAACCACAGCGAGATCCTCTAAGATCAACTCTCCAGTTGATCTAGGATTACCGTGTTGCCGCTTCTGGGCAACCGGTTTACTCTTCGGTAAATGCTGCCCTCAAGGAGAGCATTCATGTCCCGGTCCACTCGACTTATTCGAGTGGTTGACCTTCGGCGCTGCCTGTGCTTGTGCACAGCCGCCGGCAGCTTGCTCCACAGCGTGACTGTCTGTCACGCTGAGTTCTTGTGCAGTCGTACTAACGACCGGACCACAAGTGAGGCCATCACACTCACTCGTAGTACATTCACACGCTTGTGAACGCTCCAAGACATTCATCAGATGGCCATCTGATGAACAAGCGGCAGGCATCTTCACGGTTCGATGCTGCCAGCTGACCCATGGCTCGTACCTACTGAGCCATGGTAATCCTAGGATGACATCAAATTTGTCATCCAGATCAAGTACGATGAAATCATCATCGTACTTTTTGCCTTCAAGCGTGTAGTGAATTCCCACTACACGTTTCTTTACTGTTACGGATGCGCCAGTTGCAAGGCGCACCGTCATCCTCGTTGGAGGGGTCTCGCGCTCAACATATTTGAGCCTACGATCATCTAGCGATTGGCGTCGAACAAAGTTGTTCGAAGCCCCACAATCAACTAGGGCGCAAAGTGACATGTTCTTTGTCACTTCGATCTTCAATGTGATGAGGGATACCTCATCACTGGGAGCGGCAACACACAGTGACTGTGTGTTGGGAGCAACCTTCGTCAAGAGTCCCGCGAACTCTCTTGACGTTGCTGGATCAGTAGGGCGCTCCGCCCCTACTGACCCCGACCGTTTTTTGATGGTCCACCACGTTGTTGCGATTTCGCAGCAACGTGGGACCCACGTCTCTGGCCCTTCTTGGCAGACGGTCGATCGTCACTCCCAGTGTTACGAGACACTGGGCGTGGGGCACTACACTCATAAGCGTAGTGGCCCAACTTCTGACAGCGATTGCACTTTTGCAATCGCTTGTACCCTGGAGAGCGAGGTCGCTCGCTCTCTACATAGGAGAGGTCCATTGGTTCTGGACCTCCGCCCTCCTGTCGTCTCGGTGGACGATAGGACCCCGAGTGGACGTGAGCCTGTTGCAGGCTAAAGTCCTCCTGTTCCGCTGCAGAGATCGCTTGATCCAGCGATTCTAGCTCCAAGCGGAACAGGTGGGTCTTGACAGGACCATCTGTCAGACCCTTGATGAACACAGTAACCTGCGTGTGTTCATCGATTGGGTTCAGTACGATACAGCTAACGAGGTATCGTACGTGTTGGGCGTAAGCGTGTATATCACGCTTACCCTGTTTCAAATCCAGGAGCTCAGCCCGAGCCCTGAATTCGGCGCGAGGCGGTTCAAACGTGTGTTTGAGCCGCGCCTTGAAGACGTCATACGTTGGGAAAACGTATGGGTCGTGCAGTTTGAGCCCTAAGGCCCAAGCTTTGGCACGTCCTGCCAAGTTTGACATGGCGAACTTGACCTTCATCGCATCGTCATCGATGCGACGAGCCTCAATGGCATCGTCGAGCTCGACGAACCATCTCAACAAGGAGTCACTTTCGACTGCCTTGTACTTGGAGACATCAATCTTCAAGGACTCGGGTCGACGTATACACGTCGACCCGGCAGCAACAGCACTAGCCTGCTGTTGTCTCAACAGTTCAGACTGTTGAGCACCCTGCTGCATCAACAAGTCAGCTTGTTGAGCGCCTTGTTCTCTCAACAGTTCAACCTGTTGAGAACCTTGCTCCTCTAGCAAGGTGAGTTTCTTTACAACTTCGTCAAGTTCATGTTGTATGATACTTGGCGATGGTTGCATGTTGGTCGTCTCCGCTAAGAGAGAGCAACATGGCACCAACGGCAGGGTTGCCGATGGTTTCAGCCATACGCTGAACCGCATTCCATTCGAGGTCACTCAAATGGTGGAAATCATCACGCGTTGCGTGATGACGTTCATCACCCGCTGATTCCATAGCGGGTGGTGCGGTGGTCGCTGAACGGACCACGAAGTGCTACTAGGTGTAACGGGGCACCCTCCGACTATACTGATTACAGTATAGTCTACTTTCACTGTTTACAGTGAAAGCAGGTGCCTCAATTACCTCTCTTACACAAGAGGCAGAGGAAGCTTTACTTCTAAACAAACGCTTAGAAGTAGAGGAAAAGAAAACTGTATCTAATATAGTTAACTATCTTAAGAGAACTAATCTGTTATAACCTATGTTAACTATATTAAACTACAACTATGTATGTCGACAACTTGCCCTCCACTCATTGCGCGCGTCCATCGGTCATTGGTCAGCGCGTTGGTTGATATGATGGCCCATATCAACCAATAAGAGGGCATCTCCAACTTCAAGGAGATCTAGGAACAATATTATAAGAAAAGGTAATATTGTCAAAATATTATTAGTTATAATAATATTTTATTGACACTTCATATAAGTGTCAATATTATGTAACGAGCTCACCCCGTTACAAGCGACACAATATACTCATGTAGCATCTAGTGGCAGCGCCTTCTCCTTTACGATCAGACAGAGGTGTGCTCCTTACACTTCAGAGCGTAAAAGTATCGATTACCATGTTAGTTTCGGGAAAGATTCCCATGACGGTTTATTTTAAACAACTCAAGGCCACGAGGTTTGTCCATGAACAGTTTCACACTTTAAGTCAGACAACAAGGTACTATAGCAAGACATGAACAAGATGCGGCTGCAGCACACCAGCCTAAAATGGATCGCACAGAATAAACTTTTGCTACTATAACTGTTGTCAAAACGACGCCTCGAGATGTACTCACATGCCGGTAAATTATCCGTGTTTGTGACGTCATCGTAAGACGTCACGGAATGGCGTCATAGATTGACGTCATTGCTGAAGCTTCTACAAAAGGATAGGCTTAGAGGTAGCTTTTTGTGAACTAAGGACCTATATGTAAGCACTTTACATTTTACCATCAAGTTCTTAAGTACCTTCATTTACTTTAGGGTTATGAGCCCAAGTCCCGCAGACTCTGCCCAAGACCTCAACTACGCCTTCGCCATGGAATACACGCTCAATACGCGCATCAGAAAGCTCGACGGAACCAACTTCCACACGTGGAAGTTCAAGATGCAAATGGTGCTCGAAGAGCGTGATCTATGGGACGTCGTCAGTGGAGAGGTTAAGCTAGAGCACTGCGCTAATGCGTTGGACCAGGCAACCTTCAAAAGGAATTCGCGCAAAGCACTAGCAATCATTTGTCTCGCGATGGAGGACTCGCAGCTACCGCTGGTCCGGTCGGCAAGTGGCGCGCATGATGCATGGTCACGACTGGAAGGATACTTTGAGAAGAGGAGCCTCGCGAACAAGCTCTTTCTTTGTCGACGTTTCTTTAAAACGATGATGGAGGAGGATGATGGTATGCTGGAGCATATCAACAAAGTCAAGACCCTGGCGGAGCAGCTTGACGCGGTTGGTGCTTCAGTCAGCGAAGACGACTTGGTGATCACGCTTCTTGGAAGCTTGAGTGAGTCGTACCAGTTCCTCATCACGGCTGTAACGGGCTAAGGACCCGTTACCGTCTTACACTAAAAGGGCGTTGAGGAAGCGCTCTTAATTAACTCGTAAATATAACTCTGTTTTATTTTTGTTTTAGTTTTAATTCGCAGTAAGTGCGAATATGTTCCCTAGCTCATGGGAACCACTCAATATGGAAGTCAATTTATTATTGGCTAATTATTGGGTCTGGCACCCCAATAATAAACCAATAATAAAATGACGCGCAGTATCCGCTAATCGGATACTGCCCTATGCCTACTTATGTAATTATGTATTATCCCTATATCTACTTATGTAATAGGTTGCCCCTTTACATCACCCCCCCTCTCTGATGTTGCGCTTACCTAAACGTAAGCGCGAATCGCAGAAAGTTTCTTCTCGATCAACGGCGTACCTCCGAACCTGCTCAGTTAGACTTAACTGAGCAGCATGGACCCTAGGCTCCCACGAAACAATGTCTCTGACAACCAGAACTGGGAACGCCAAGCGACAATCCGTAGAGAGCAGGCGACGCAGGTCATGGATGGGGACTTGAAGCCGTGGCGCTTGTATGGTCTTGAAGGTGCTGTCGAACCCGAGCCACTGGAGGTCATGAAGGACCTTTTCACGCGATACCGTACAGTGAGAGGAAAGGCGACGAACAACGCATATACCGACGATGCGTTGCAGAGGTCTTGGTGTGACTTCATCAGACGCTGGAACGCGCATCGACGTGAAGGAACGTCCTTCACGTCCTGGTTAGACGGTCGCGAGGGAACGCGTGATAGACACGCTATTGACGACCTGCGCCGGCGCATCTGTCGTATGACTTGTGACGAGTATAACCTTTGTTACGTCCACATTCGTGAGGGATGTCCAACGTGCAACGTGGGCAGATCGCGACCGGTCCGGCAGGAATGGGACGACTTGGTGTGTGCGCGAGGCATGCCCGATCATATTCGTCCATGGATTGCCCGTTATGAATAAAGCCTTTCGGAGCTACAGGTGTACGAGCTACGGCGAGTGAGAGCGCGTCCTTACGATCGCCGACAGCATTCACGTAGTCGAGATCGTCAACCGTATCATCCATATGCTCCCGAGCCTCGTAATAGGTCTCGGTCTCGGAGTCGCTCGGGAGGTCGTCGCGGTTTCGTTGCTCGCGAGCATTACGGCTCGCGAGATCGGGGATGGAACCGTCAGCGTCGGTCGCGATCACCGTCTTTCTACGGGACTCGTAGTCCTCGACCACGTCCGGGACATCTTGGGACAGCGTACTCGATGGCTCCCATGTATCGTCCGCCGGGGAATATCCCAACCAGCGAACCCTGTAATGTTTCTCGACACGCTTCTTCATGGGCGCCGAGTTATTACTCGGCGCCTGGGACTTGTGATCCTCGTGATCGACAATACGGTCGACAATCCAGCGTCGCGCACCCGATGCATCGACTAATGGAGGAGGAGCATCACGACGGAAGGCCTCTGGCGATGAGCGCCGATTCTCGTAATCGGGCGCCTGTACAGTCGAATGATGAGCTGCGCCTACTCCGCGCTGAAGCTGAGGAGTCGAAGAATGCCCTACTTGATGCTTGCGAGATGGCTGAGAGAGCTCAAGATCGTGCGGATGCTGCTACTGAGGCTGCTGAGCGGACTCGACGTGAGCAGCTGGTACTGGTTGAGCGCCTACGTCAACTTGAGATGACTGCGTTCGGAGGGCCCCAGCAGATCGAGTCTGCACGCGTTCGGGCAGGACTTGGTCCCAGTCGTATTCAGCGTCGTCGTCAAGGGATGTCGGATTTCGAGCCGGAACAGAAGAGCGGGGAAGATTCAAAGAGAGACCCGCCGGTAGGTAAGCCTTGAGGCGCCTGACATAGAACGTCGGGTGCAAACGCAGAGATGTATGTATGTCTAGCGTGTAAGCGTCACCATGCACCTTAACCACCCGAAATAGGCCAATACATCTTGGCGCTAACTTATTAGCGCCCAAATTTGTCACTGAGGTGTTTGGTAATCCACTTGTTGATAACAATACTCTGTCACCTTCTCGAAAAAGCGACATATTCTTTCGACCTCTTCTGTCTCCATTCTCCTTTTGCTTATCGACTGCCTCTTGTAATGCATCACGCACAAAACGCGTGATTCCTTGTCGCAATAGCAGAAATTCGGTTACTGCAGCCGAACTTACAGGCGACGTATTCTCTTTTGGAGCAAAATTGGCAACGAAAGACGCGATGGAAAGCATCGCGTCAGGAGTCGAGATGCCGTTGGCCACAAAATAACCAGTAGTAGGTGCATCGGCAGCAACCTCATTCGCATCGTAATCACTCAGCAATAGTTTCGGCGCAATTCCATCCGTAGATACTCCCCCACCAAGCTTGGAGACAGGGTGTTCTGAAGCTGAGAGAGCAAGCAGCGCCGGAACGCGAGGATGCCTCGCGTTGTTAACGAAAAAGGGCGTCAACCCGGTTGACGCGTGGACAGCATTGTTGATTGCAAACTCTGCAAGTGGAAGAAATGCAACTCCATGATGAGAACGATGTTGCATAACTGCGCAAGACATCTTCGAGCACTCTGTTCACACGCTCCGTTTGCCCATCCGTCTCTGGATGGGCCGCCTTAGACATAAGCAACCGCGTGCCTAATAGCTGGAAGAATTCGGCCCAGAAAGCCGAAGTGAAAAGCGGGTCACGGTCCGAAACAATAGATTCTGGCAAGCCGTGATGCCTAAAGATAAGATCAATGAAGATCTTCGCTTTCGTCTCCGCCGTAATGTTGGCGGAGACCGGAGCAAAATGCACCATTTTGCTGAATCGATTCACTAGAACCAATACGCCCGTGCGTTTCTGTTCATCCGGTGGAAGGCCAAAGATAAAATTCATGCTGACCGAGCGCCAGGCTTCCATAGCAATCGGAAGAGGACGCAATGGGGCTTCTGAGGATGGCGCGGGCTTCACACGCTGACAGGTTTAACAGGAGCGCACCCATTTCTGGATGTACTTATACATTCGCGGCCAGAAAAATACGCGAGAAATAGCCGCAAACGTCTTCTCGCGACCCAGGTGTCCGCCATCTGGGCTGTCGTGAAATTCATGAACCAATCGGGCTCGAAGGTCGTCATCAGCAGGGATGACGACACGCGGGGAATCAAAGACGTCTATCGTGTACGTCAGCAGCGGACCGTCAAGCGCGTAACGCTTGATGTTGTCGCGTGTTGGTTTCGTCAACTTCGCGAGTAATTGTTCGCTCGGGTCCCTGATATAGTTGATGATTCCTGCATAGAAGGAATCATTCGCGTAGGATTCAGCGATCTGAGTTCGGATCGAAAGCACAGGGGTCGAAATCATCGCATTGAGCCCCAGCTCAATACAACACACACAGATATCTTCGTCGTCATCAACATACTCCGTTTGATGACCCATATCGCGCCGAGGATCGTAATCAGGACGACGAGAAAGCGCGTCAGCGAGAATGTTGTTCTTGTCAGGCTTGTAATGCACCACAAAATTATACTCGGCAAAAAATGACAACCACCGTGCCATACGCTGGGACAAGTGAGGACTCTTGACGGCGGTACGCAATGATGCGTGATATGTGTAGATAGAAAACATCTTTTCGCCGAGCAAATATACTCTAAACTTGATTAGCGCGTAGCGCATAGCCAAAGGTTCCTTGTCGTGTACCGGATAACTTTTCTCGGCAGGTTTTATCTGTCGTGATTGAAATCTCACGACGCCTTCTCGACCCTCGTCATCAAATTGCATGAGGGCACATCGTATAGCGAAATTGCTCGCGTCACATACGACGTGAAATGGCTTAGAGTCATCAGGTAACATCATTACCGGTGCCTCGGACAAGCTCTTCTTTACGGAGTCGAAGGCAGATTGATGTTCTGCCGTCCATAACCATACTGCATCTTTCTTGAGCAAAGTCAATAATGGCTGACTAAGCTCAGCATAGTTCTTCGTATACTTATGCAAATGATTCGTGAGAACGAGCCATTGACGTAATTCATTTTTGTTTCCTGGGCGTTGGCCAGGAACAGATCGATGAGATCTTCTCAGGATCAGCGCGGACACCTTCCTTGCTGACGTAGCAACCGAGTACTGGAATCTCAGGAGCGCAGAAGACACATTTCTTCAAATTCGCATACAATTTATTCTCGCGCATAACTTGAAACACCTGCTTCAAGTGACGAAGGTGTACCTCCGTAGCGCTGAGTTTTTGCTCAGCGCGGCTGTGAACGAAAATGTCGTCAAAATAGCTCGGTGCAAAGTCGCGAAGTGGGCGAAGTACTTGTGTCACCATCCGATTGAACGTGGCTGAAGCATTCTTAAGACCTTGTGGCATGACCAGCCACTCTCAAAGCATCCCGCTTGGGGTGCTGACCGCAGTGAACGGAATGTCACTGTCCCTCATGAGGATCTGATAGAAACCGGCTGTCAGATCGATGGCACTGTAGATCTCGCTTCCGGACATGGTGTTCAATACCATGTCTTTACGAGGGATAGGCGTTTGAGCCGGGATCGTGGCGTCATTCAGCTTGTTGAAGGCGTGCACAATGCGCCAACCGCCGGTGGATTTCTTCACACAGAAAGTCGGACTCGAATGTGGCGAGATACTCTCGCGGACATGGCCAGCCTTGCGGCGACCCTCGAAAATTCATCAATAGCGATGACTTGGTCGCGCGGTAACGGCCACTGCCGTGTCACGCAATATTTCGATCCTGGCACGAGATCTATCTCGTGCCGCACACCACGATCCGCCGAAGCTCAGCTGGAATTTTCTCCGGGAAATATCGGCGTACTCACGGGCGACATCGTATACAGGGTTGCCCGAAGCACGAAGAGCATCCCAAGACTGTGTCGCGAAGCGTTCTTCGCGCGCTGATTTAGGCTCGGCGCTCTTCGGGCGAGCCTCCAGAACTTCTTCACTGGCTGCTTCGGTGGCTGAAACGATGCACACTTGCTCGATGTCGCCGGCCTTGAGGTCATGAAGGAAGTCTTTCCATAAAAGGTCTGACAGAGATGTGATCT